TTTCTTCGAAAACCTTTAGAGGAAGTTTTATACCAAAAAGTCGACTAATCACTAGGGATATATTCTTAATGTTACGCTTAATTTCTTCTTCCAGGCATCACCTATCGATGATTTTGAAATTTTGCAATTTACTGGAGTTGGCTCCTTGAAGGGAAGTAATTTTCCCTAGTCGCTTCAATGAGAAGAAAACCTGTCATGGTTCTTAAAATGTTATCTATCTCTTTCAACAACACTTTCTGTTAACCTAATTGCTCTGAAATATTTGCAGACGTTTTTTTCTACACATTTTTAATGGATGCTAGGAATTGTGATGCTAGAGAGGCAGACGTGCGAATTAATGCATATAATGTTTTCTGTGACTCTCGCTGTTACAGACGAGGCGACGCAATAAATAAATCTACTTTTTTCAGTAAGAGAACTGTGCAAAAAAATTTGCACATTTTGTAGAAAATGTAGAGGCAATTAATAGAATGCGATTGAGAATGCAGTGAATAATTTTTTGTTTAGTATCCGTAGAGCGTAACCAAAAATGAAATTTATTTTGTCAATACAAATTAAGCAGAGATACAAATGGAATTAAAAAAAGAAAAATGAATAATATATGTGAGGGAAAAACGATCTCAAGATTCTCTTTTTCATTAAAATTAATAAGCGGCTCAATAACTTTGCCAAACTATCCATAATTTATATAAAAACGAAGGCATCCGTTTAACCATCAAAATAAGCCTTCAAAGTTAGAACAGACGTTAATTTAATATCTGTAAACTGCAAAGCGACGTGACACCAAAACAAGTTTCTGCATCTTCTTCTTATGCCATGCGTCTCCTAACGACTGACCGATGTGCTAGTCGGCAACTGCTCTGAATTCTTTGGATATCAACATTGTCTCAACAAACGCTGGACAGATAAACTTACTTAAGAAGATTGTGGAAAAACAATGGAGTGGGTTGTTCTTGTACAGAAAGGATTATGAACATAATCAGAAAGGATTAGGAGGATAATTCCTTTCTCTGCTAATAGTGTTCCTAATGTAATAATTGTACATTACTTTTTCAGGCCAGATCAGATAACAGCCACCGCAATTATAATAGCACGCTGTTAATGAGGTCAACAAGGGTCAAAGTGCAGACATAGAGGAAGCAGGCTGCAGGATCTGATAATAGGTTGCACTCTTCTTACCAAACACAGAATGTCTTCTTTCTGCCAGGGCAATTCAGTCTCTCAGTACGCCCTTAAATTTGTAGACGCAGAATTCCTAAAATGAATCCACCTTTCATTTTCAGTTAGTGTTGTTGTAGCAGCAACCTATATAAAAAAATGATTTCTATGCAAATGCAGTGGCAGTTCGAGACCAAAAGAACAGCAAAGATATAAGCTATAAAAATGATGATGTAGGAGGCGGTTTTATTACTTAGAAATTAAACATACAAAAATTAATTTATGCACAGAACAATTAATACACGTCTTATTGTTTCATTACTGACACACACAATGGACTAACATGGGTACAATTGGTTGCACATACATATAATAGAGCAGTCACCGTTGTATTTATCAGATTGTAAGCAGCCATGGCAAAGTCACCAAACACTCAATTTACAATAGTTAGGACATGATGCAAATAAGACTTTCCTTTGCATAGTTCGAGGAAAAAAAAAGGTGGCGGCGATTGTTTTTTACTTGACAGTTTTATCGTAAGAAAAAGTAAGTTTGCGTTACAATGTGTCTTGGTATTATGACTACTTATTGTTGCCAGACGTCCGAGCTATAAAAAAAACCACTTCAGATATATCGCGTTTGAGCGATCTGTGGTCAAATTTCGATTTTATATTTGTATTCCCTGAGCAATGTTTCTTAAAATAACGAATTTTCGTTATCGAAAAAATGATCCGATCCGAACCATTTTCAACAGCGTTCGCATTTGGGACAAAACACATCAGTTTAGAAAATTGCATCAAAATGTTTCGAAAATTACAGTCTGCAGGTTGAACATGTAGAAACAAGGCGGACACACATGCTTAAATCAACTCAGAAAGCGATTCTGAATCGATGGGTTTAATGAAAGGTGAGCCTATCCCAAGTTCTTCTGGGCATTACATACGTCCAAATAACCTTAATATACGATTGTCGCATAAGTGTAGGATATAAAATGGAAAATGGCCAGCCGCGTGTGAAATCTAAAAATTTAATTGCGCATCTATCAAATATTGAAATAAGAATGATTTTAACATTATAACGGTATTGTGAACCAGTACCACCATGTGAAGTTTGTTCACGATTTGCTTTTATGTCTTAACTGGCGCCGTGAACTTTCGAGCACAATTTCCAAAAGTCTTAAAGTAATTTGCTTTGATTAGTTACTTGAAGAGGTGATTAAAGGTTACATTGTTAGAAGAGAAAGTTTTAAAATACGTGTAGCTTTAAGCCATTTTTTTTTTCAATTTTTGCTCAAATAAATCCATTTTATCGGATTAAATAGCAATAGGTAAAAAATGTAATGCATTTACTCTGCCTTTTACATAATATAAAATATTAATCAGTTAACAGTTAAAACGAAAAAAAAAAAATAATAATAAAAGTAACATAACAAAGCTTTTTATGAGCTAACCTATCACATGAATTGTCATTATGATGGAAAAAAAAATAACGCAATTGAAATAAACTACTGCCACTGCTAATCGATCAATAAGCCTTTACGTTAACATGTATTTATGTTTTAGTTTTCTGTACTGCCATTACAAGAAACCTGTATTCGTTTCAAGCTCGCCTTAGCTGCATAGACACAATCAATCATTATGTCTGATGTTAAATTAAAAGTCGTTAAGCTGCATAGATGAATAGGCGAAAAGACAAATAAATGTGAAATAATTACCAAAAAAACTTGAAATTGTTATTAAAACAGAAAAAAACGCAAATGTTATGAAATTAAAAAATTAAATCAACTCATAATGACAATGACAAGAACATGAAGAAAAAAAAAAAACGAAGAACAAGGAGAAAAAATAAGTAACTACTTTATATAAATCAAAAATTTTGAATAGTCAGAGAAATCTGAAGTAACTAACCTACATATAAATTAAAATTTTTGTCACTTATTAATATATATTTTCTTATTCTCTTAAACGGAAGCTATATGCTATAATTTACTCTATTGAACGATCCGTTATCTAAAAAAATAAAAGTAAGCTTAATTAAGAAATTAAACGCCTTAACTAGCTCAAGAAAATTGTGTGAAGACTTCAGTCGAATCGTGTTGCAGTTGCATTCAAATCGAAAATGTCTACTTTGCAGACGAAAATATATATTTTAGAAAAATACTTATGGTTTCTGGGGATGGGGCTATTTTCACTTTGTCAAAGCATATGTAACGTCCGGAGAGAAGCTTCAGCGAGCTCATAAAGTATATGTGTCCGTGTAGACAATCAAATTCTAAATCGATTTAAGCATGTCCATCTGTCCGCTCGTCTGTACATCTTTATGTCTTCCTTTCTCGTTTTATGTCCACCTACACGTCTGCACGTCTGTCTGTCTGTCTGCTGGCTGACTATCTTCTACTCATTCTTTCAACAACGTTTTAAATATTAGGATAATATCCGTTGGTTGAAATATTTCACATTTCGATGCCATAAGAAATTTCGGTGGCAGAGTTAATTATAAGAAGATGGGAACACAGAAACTTCGCTTGGCTGAAATGTGTTAAAGAAAATATGTTCAACTAACTTATCCTGAAGTTAAAAATTGCAACCATAAAATTGTTAGAATACATCACAAGATGCACACCCAAGACTATGAACTACACGGGCCACTACACTCGCCAAACTATTCTTCTTCAAATTAGTTTTTATTTCACTCAAAATGCAAATTAAAAAAAGTCACGTTACCTTGGTTTTGTGTTCTTTGATATCGAATGCAAAGTGAACTGTGAGAGCATAATGGGACTAACTTAACAGAGCATTGTTAACGTCACAATTGCTTGATGCGTGATGTGTCCACTTTTGACGTTAAAACTTGATATTCGGATTGAGATTCGGATTAGTATGTTTTCAAAATTTTCTGGGAATTAATGTAGGATCTCTTCTGAAAATATCTTAGAAAATTGCAACAATCTTTCCAATTATTTTTTTCAATAGATATGTGGGAACTTATTGATATTCTTCTCCTCAAGTGTTTTTCGCCCTTTTTTTCATTTACATTTTTTTTTTATCTATTTTTTTCTAGTTTCTTGCTTTATTTGCATGAGTAGCCGAAGAGGTGGACATCGCTCACTCGGTAAAGGCATAACGCTTACCTATTAGGCACACATATACTTGGCGCGACCGTTTCCCTAAGTTTTTCTCACTTTTTTCCGACCGTCAGCGTATTAATAAAGGATCATGGGTACAAAAAAAAAAAGTCATCTGATAAGCGAAAACATCTGCAAAGTTGGGAAAATATATATATATAATGTATATATATAATATATGCTTACAGGAACCACTCAATACACTTCCCTAGTAATGTACAAACTTAAGGGTATTAAAAATTCGTCTTCAGGTGTTCCGTTCTCTAAACTAAAGCATTTGGAAGTTACTTTCAATACATTTGCCGGTTAAGGTATAATCAAAACCTTTACTTAACACAAATTACTTGGCTTCCTGTACCAACTAATCCATTAAACACAAGGCACTTGTAAATGGATGTAAACAAGCTTTAAATACTTACTCGCCTTTCTTTTTCAAATCAATTACGAATAAATAAGCGTAATGAGCGATTTTAGCTTAATTACTTTCTATTTTAAGTTAAGCACATATTTAAGTTTAATAATTTAAGCAATTATCACTAATACAGGACGGACACTTATTACATTTAACGTTTCCCTACTATTTATTTATTAATAAACTATTTACAAAAGTCCTATTATATACAAAAAAGCGTTAATAGTTTTTGCTTGAATTACGTAGAAATCATATATAATTAATGTCAAAAATAGATTTTGTTTTTTCATGTGGCTTGTGACGTTTATGATATTTTATGAATTAAAAATTCACGATACATAATGGTAAGTATCAATAATACATTTATGTTTTCATACAAAAAGAGTAAAATGCATTTGCTTTAACACGTTTTTTTTTTTTTTTTTTTTGCTGTTTTTGGCCAACTATCTTATTGACATAATCAGATGTAAGTTAATTCTAAATCGATTTAATTTTATGTTCGTTATTGCAAAACCGATAAAGTTTTGAGTTTTGAGAACGTCAGAACTTGTATGTTGCTTTCATGCTTTCAATTTACTTTGTTTGCAGGGAAGTAGAAATCTTTTATTTATCAAATATATGAATATGACTTAGATTTGAGGCATACTAAGCTTTGAAAAAGTCAGAAATTGCAGTAAAATAATTATCAAAAAAATAAAGATAATTTTTTATTCAAACGCAAAATTTGATTCCCCACATCAAATGTGGTACAAGCATATATTATAATTGGGGCGAATGTGTGCAGCGTCCAGAACGACTTGACCCATCTTTCACTATACAGATCGACTTAGAATCGCTTTTTGAAGCCATTTAAGCTTGCCTGTCCGTCTGCCGCTCTTATTTTCTTGCGTTCAGTCACTGGTCGCAATTTTTGAATCTGAATCAGAATCACTTGCTGCATCGATCTAAGTTTGACGCACTGACGCGTTTTTGACCAAGGGGAAAGCGTTCGGGCCAGAATACTTCTTCAACCATTTCCCATATATCGCTTTGTTTTTTCATTGTCATTTACCGTACTAAACAATGTGCAATATTGGTATTTGTTGATGCACGGAGACCCGCTATAATGGCTTTACACATTTTGATTACATTTATAATATTCTGAAAAGTATGATATTTTAATAATGAATTTTTAAATCCACCATCCGGCTCCTTTTTCCTCCTCATCAAACATTTTTCTCAAGCTTTAGATGCAACAAGGTATAATAACAAGTTTTTGGATGACATTATCTGTCTGTACAAAATGGATAATAAGAATTTTTCAATTAAAAATCCTGGTTGAAGAAGCAAAAATACTTACTGTAATGACAAACACTAGTTTACGTTCAAAAACACAGGAGTGCCTTTGAAAAAAAAACATTCACATAAGGCGGGCTTAGAGTATAGCTTGCTTCAAAATGATAAAGAGAAATCTTCATTTCTATTTCACCGTTCACCGTTTCTCGCATTTTCAAATAAATAAGGTTGAATGAAAAATTGTTATTTCAACTTAGTGAAAATATATCCTCCTGGTATATGTTGTGCGCTGTTTCAGAGCTTTTTAGTTAATGTTGTCCATATAGATGCGGCTCGTGCTCGTAAATCAATTCTTAACTTCAAAACTTCCTCTAGCTTCACGCTAAAATATGGAGCGATTGTTGCAAAGCAAAGTGAAATAAATTTTATGCAATCTCATCAAAGTTATATATAATTTATTTTGATAAGCTTAAAGGAACATCTTAACGGACACCATTTTATAGACAATCATAGACATCTACCTCAATCATTTTTGAACTGGATCGTAAATGAAAGAATTTTATTGTTCAAAAAACTTAATGAGTGGTTTAAGATAATATACTATGCTATGCATTTTTAATTAATTAAAAGTTTCTCTCTCTTTTACTCTAGTGTGACGATATTTCTAAGGCCTCCTCATGCCCTTTAAATACAATGTTCGGATTCATGTTTACTGCCAGAAAGAATTCTATTATATCTGTTTTCATATTACGGAATGCAAACATAATGCAATATCCTACAGGGTGTTTTTGTAACAAATGTTGAGCAGACAAAATATTTATAAATTCAATTTAAATATATGCATGAACAAAATATATAAATACAAGTGTAAAAGCGTAGAAAGTATACTCTCTTATAAAACCGAAAAGAAAACTTACCGTCCGCACTGGGTCTCACTGAAAGAGAAAATTAATTCTTTCATGCATTGCAATGACAATAGTTGCGTAAATGTACGTAAAAAAACTAAGAAAAAGTGAATCACAGTGCATACAAGTTATGTTTATAAGCAAGAAAAAAAAAACATTGCGCTCTCACTTCGCGTAATACACACTCGCTTGCAACCATTTAGGCACTACTTGTCGATTACTCTTTTCACAAATAACCGAACATTTTTTTGAACACTTCGCTTAACTGGTTTATTAAAGTCGTAGCTTTTATTAACACATGCCTTTATGAAACAATACTTCTAATCAAATAATGATTTTTTACATTTTTAATTTATTGCAAAAACTTATATTTCTGTTTACCAATGTTTCTTTGATGTGATTGTATTTCTCTCGAAAGTCCGCGTTATTAAAATGACGATTAGTAACTATAAAAAATAACGATAGCGATTAATTAACTCAACGAATTTAAACAACCCGTAAATCAATGAGAGGAAAACAGAAGAGCTAAGAAAAGCAAAAAGAAACCTTATAAAAACTCAAATAAGAAGAAGAAAAAAATTGGCGAACTTTTAATAGCAAATATTTTAATAAGAAAATCACGAATTTACACACAAGAGCATTCCTTTATATTTGCACAAATTATGGGTTTTTTTTAGTGATTATTAAATTTCCTTTTTAGTTTTTTTTTTTATTATTAATAGCTATACTAATATATTATATAATTAGTTTCATTTCCGAGACCTACTTACGCAGCACACCAACTATTAATGAGAAAACTGTAGATGGTATAATATCGAAACCGAAAAAGTCATGTTACAGAGAGCAAAGGAAGAGTAAGATAACATTGCTATTGACATTTTTATAACAGATTTATAATTAGAATTTGTAGAAGACGTTCCACAACGATCAAATTGAGAATGGATTCATCGTCAACGTACAATTGACATTACATTATAAGGTTAGGATGCCACATTTCACGTAAAAGAGATGCTTACAAAATTTTGTTTATCTTAAAAATTTTCCTTTTTCCTTAAGGATATACATATATATGTATTTCTTTTTTTGTAAATAGATTAAACAAACGATAAGCTACGCTTAATTAGATTGATAGTCGGAATATGTGCTGTAAAGCTAACCAAAAATTACTTTTAACTAAACAATAAAAAAATATTGCATTTTGTTCCTTTTTTTTTTTTTTTGCTGATGCATTTTTAAGGTCGAGAGTAAGCACATTTCCTTGTTCCCATACCCATACCCGAACATATTCATTTTATAGTCACCAATGTGTGCGCTGGCATAAAGTGAATATGTTCATGTTTATTCATGGTTAAATTGGTATCACGATCTGAAAATTTATCTCACATATTATATCTCACTAACATACTCTAATAACGCACTTCAACTTAAAGAAAGCTCTTTTCTCGTTATTTTTTGTGTTGTTGTGGTAGATTAAAGTCTTGCTGTAAAATAAACAAGTGGTCAGAATTTATTATACCGACCGCTTTACGTTCGCTCCCTCTCCTTTGTTGATAGTTATGAATTTACACATCTTTAAAGTATTTTCTTCGTATGTTTTTGTTGTCGTTGTTGTTGTTGTTGTTGTTGTTGTTGTTATTTTTGCGTGTTTGATTAGATTACCTTACGAAAATTTTCAGCAATCACAACAAACTAAAATACAACACTAACAAGAGAGCCGAAGCAAAAGCAATCACAACTAAGCTAAGCACTAAATCGCATTTAAAGTTTCAGTAAGATTTGCGAGGAAAAAAAAGAAGAATAAAAATAAAAACTTACAAACAAATGATAATCATTGTGTTGAGTAGAAAAACATCTTTCATCAGGTATTAAATGTCGTTTAATCTTAGCTTGCAAACAGCAATAGCAACAGCAACAACAACTGTAACAATAACAACAAAATAAAAGCTTAATAAATTGTTAATATGCCAAGAGACGTAGTTTATCCCCTAAAACACTCCAACATTCGTTACTTTCATGCGTTTATTGTACAACAATTTTTTCCTTTTTTTTTGTCTTTTTGTATTTTTGTGATTTTGTTGTTATTATTACTATTATTATTATTGTTGTTGCTCAGTTTGCAGATGGTGTGCTTGCTGTACATTAATAATCGTTAAGTGAATGCATTTTTGAAAACAAGGCTAATTGCTGCCATGAAATGTATATTAACTTAACTAACTACGAACGAGAAAAATACAAATACATAACAAAAAGTTGTAAGTAGTTGTTATTATGTTATGTTACTTTATAGTTTGTCGTTGCGGTTGCATTGCATGTTTAGCTGTGTGTGTATATATATGCGTGTGTATGTGCGTTTATTATTGTTGTGATTTGAGCATGATTTCAAGTGATTTCCTTTAAATGATTTCGTTAAATGCTATAATTTCAATTATATGGCAATTTTTCATTAAAAGCAAAAGAAAAAAAATATTTTTTTTTTATTCTTTTCTTTAATTAAACGTCTTATTCTGTGGGGAAAGCATTGAACTTATTTGAAAAAGTACTTATAAGCTTGTTAAAATTATTTATTTCATAAAGATTCGTAAAAGTATTTCAATCAAATCATGTAACTTGGAAAACTATTTCTTCGAAAGTTCTTACCTGATTGGTGGATGCACGGATAAGGTATATCTTTTGGTTATATCCGACTATGTATTATGTGCTCAGACTTACTCACATATGCTTGCATATATTTCTATATACAAGATAATGTCGAATAGATTGCATGCCCTCGGAATCGGCGGAATCGAGTGGACAGAAAGACATTCAAAAGCTTACGGCTACTTTCCAGATTGATACCTTGCAGTGAAAGTTGATCAAAAATAGTTTTTGTATTAAGTTTTTCACCTGTACATATCCCATATTTGGATAAAATTAAAGAAAATAACTGGAATCTTGTCCCGCTTTTTCTACGTTGAAAGATGGCAGGGATTACGAATAGATTCCGGGAATGTGGGAATAATTTTGCAGTATACTTAGCCGTGTAACGAAGGAGTTTGCGACTAAAAACTCAATAGCCTCGCGTTCAAATGCCAGAGTGCGACAGTCTTTAAAATGCATACTTTGTCAATTTAAAATTTATAAAAATTAAAAGATTTTGGAGAGCAAAGGGAAGAACAGAATCAAAGTGCCGGAAACGTCCGATTGCGTGCTTATAGGTATTATAGGCATTTAAAGTTGTACGACTTAAATAAATTTGCTACATTTAGCTACTCGTTTGTAGGTGTCAAACAGTTGTAAGTCTAAGCGGTACTTCAACTTAATTAACCTCTCTAATCGAATCCTGTATTTTTAAATAATTTAATTATCCATTAAACTTAATTAAGTTATTAACGCCAAATAACTTAATTCTGTCTTTTTATTGCATATTGCAAATTACTTGATCATGCCCGTATGAGGAAATATTAATTTTCAACCCTTAAATAGCAACAGTTTCAATTGTTTAAGTTCAGCAGCATTAGTAACACAAAATATTTCGATTTTTTGTTGCTGGCCAAGGAACATAATCGACGAACGAATCTCCATGCCATCTAGAAAGAAAAGTACATCTGAAGGTTGTGTGAAAAATACGTAAACAAAACCAGCAAGTGATGATTCCAACCTGTGTAGGAATAAAAAACTCTAATTTTCTCGAAATTTTGTGATATTATAATAAGACCAAAACTACGTTGGTCCATAGTGTCGTCAATACATCATTAAGGACAATTCCATCTTTGTTCGAAAACACAGCAACTTTGAATGTCATTTTGGTAGGCTGACGTGTCGGTGCGTGCTGCTTACGAAGATTCACGACCTACGTTTTGCGGATAGCGGAAGTTCGTAGTACACCTTGGCGAAATCCACGGTCAGTGGGTAGGGGATACGCAACCAAAATTAATTGAGGTCATCATCTAACTTTTTTCTTCTTTTAGCCACCAGAGATCAACTTAGACACACGTTTTGTCCTCTTTTTTCTTAAACGAAGCGCGACATACGAGCTCCTGCACGAAAGCGCAACTCACATAAACACTGCTCTTAACGAAAATTGCTGTTTACGTCGCATTTTTTCCGCTGGAGACGCTTGACATGCATTAATCAGTTTTAATGGTTTAATGGTGGAAGTAATGCTTTCTCACTCGAGGTCACTTTGAAATATTCGAATAATTACACTTCGGTTGAATGTAAGTGTTTTTGGACTCATTTAAAGTGAATTCATGATTTATGTTCATCCATGAGTCGGTTTATGGTTCTCCTTCTTGAACAAACTTGTTATCGAGTGTGTATTACGGGATGAGAGTTCTCGATAGCTTACGACACAACGAACAGGAAGCCCAACTCGATTTGAACACAGTCGCGTACTATCAAGCTAAACTGCGATCATATCGTATCAAAAACCGTAAATCGGCCCCAGATCAATTAGTTTTAACTATTAGTACTAGTTCACCGGATGACCAAAATGATCCTTATGTATATAACGTAAATCAAGATTACCTGCTATCAGGCTTAATTTTTTATGTTTTTAAGATTAAATTGACTGATGCACTCTCACGGTAGTTAAACTAGTAGAACAGGGAGAAGTGGAAATTAAATCAGGGTTAGCGTTCCTTTACTTTATACTTTGCATCCGGTTCGATATAAATTCAAAACTAATGAGTAACGTCTTAATAACTCAATTAGTGGTTAATCAATTAGACAACATATAATTTTATTTTACTTTTTTTAAATACAAGTTTTTCAAATTGCTCAAGTTTTTGTTGTTATTATTGTTGTTGTTGTTTTTATAATTCTTCCTTTAAATTCTTCGCGATTCCTGCAGAAAAAATGAAAGGGAACGTTAATGTCATCGTTGTTGTTGTTGTTATTGTTTTTGTTATTGTTGTTGTCCAATAAATACCTCTAAAATGTTTCTGAAATGTCAATGGATTTGATAAATTACATTAAACCCTGTTGCCAGAGCAACGACATTCTGCTCTGCACTGCAATAGCACTGTCTGCCTTTTTCCACTCTGTATACCCCGTCCGCCTTTTGTCCGTACATGCAGCCAAGTTAATGCTGATGTTTGCTCTTATTTACTACTAGTGGTGGCGGCATATAAACGAACTAAACGAATAAAAAAAGAGGAATAAACGAAAAAAACAGATGAATGAGCACAAATACAACACTAGTGGCGGCTTAGGCGGCATTTAAGAGGACAACACAAAAGTTTATTGCATGCCATGACAATTTAACTTAAACTTAAAACTTAAGTAATGGTTATGTACTAATAAGAATAACAGCAACAACAAATGAGCAAGAATGAAATAATATGAAATTTACTAAGGGAGCGAGAAGCCGAAGAGATAAGTACGCGGGCGGAAGAGAGTGAATGGAAGAGCAAAGAGAAAATGGGCAACGATAAGAAAGTTCAGTTTGCCTTGTAGCGAATCTTCGATGTGCACCTCCTTAGGTGGTAAAGAGTTTGTGCTGAAATTTTTTTTATGACCCCGACTATTACGAAGCTCTCTGAACTAAACTCTTCGATAACCCTATTAAAAGTTTGAAATGATGTTTACTTGAATACCT